TGCGGCTCTGTGTTGTGTGTCGGGATGAGGAGGAGGAGGAGGAGGAGGAGGAGACAGGCGAGGCAAGCGAACGAACGAAACCATCTCTTCGGCTATCGGACGTGGAGCTGCCCTCGTCCTACTCCTCCTACGATAAATCCCGCGAATGCATCTCTCGCGGTTGATGCAGCGCGTCCAGAGCCGCACGACGCGGTTGGGCTCTGTTATTTGTCTACGGGCTGTAGAATTGCGCACCATAAAATTATCGGCGAACGGGGCGTGCGTGCGTGCGCCACGCCGACGAGGAACGTGACCGTGAACGGCAGGAACAGCTGAACAACGAGGTGCCTTTCTTGCACGCGCGATCGGATCACTCGTTAACCCCTGCGTACCGTGGAAATAATTAAAATCGTGAGTGGCATAAAAATCTCGCGGCGCGCCGTTAAATCGATTGAGAAATCCGTGACCGAAAGATATGGTGAATACAAAACGTTTTCTCTCTGCTCGAAGATTATATTAAATTTTGCTAGGAAATTTTGCTAGGAAATTTTGCTAGCAAATTATCACGATTTTATTGACATATACTATCGTCATTTTATTTAATTATTATTCTCTATTTATGTTATTTGTTAAATAATTAGGTAGAATTTATTTTAAATATGGTAATTATCTACTATACTTCTTTCTTTCGTTCTTTATGGCTATACGTGTAATTATTCCAGGTGAATGACCTCATGGAGAACTCATTGATAGTCGAACTATACTCTCGTGACAGCTGGACGCGTGTTTGATGGCGCGTTAGAACTTTCACGGACATAATTTTATCGTTAGAGAAAAGTGGCAGTCGAAGTTACGTGGATTTTTTTCTAAATTGTTGATTAAATGACATAGAACATTCTACAAAGGAATTTGTATCTTTTAATGTATTTTTTATGAAAAATTTTTATCAGAATCGTGACAGGACTATTGCGTATATAACGGAACTCATTATCGCGGCGTGAGGTTTGAAAATCAAGTTTGTTTAGCGCTTATTTATTAGAGGATTGTTAATAATGAATCCGTGGCGTCGCGTCTTGCCGCAGACTGCGGATTATCGCGAATGAAAATACGTTTTCTCTTCGAAGTATGTGGCACGAGGACGTTCTTTATGACTACCTCTTGTCACCAGCGTGCGGCGCGGCGCGGCGCATGATTCGCATTACGATGCGTATCGTCCGAGTGGGTTAAATATGTATACGCCACGTATGGCGTTTCAAGGAACCCTGATTCATTAAAGGCCTATAGATCTAAATCGGATTTCCCTGTCATCGATTTTTCTGAGTCATTAACGACGAAAATAAGCTTAAGCTAATGATTCGACAGAAATTATAACTAAGAAAAGAGGATTGGTCTTAGTGTGGATAATGCCGTGCAATTTGAAATCAAATCTTCGTAATGCCTAGATAAACTAGTTTATATGACGTAACATAAATTTTAATACGACAGGTTCTATTCCGATCTGGAGGTTCTGCTATAATGAGATTTCACTATAAATATCTCTCGAAGTATTATTCGCGGTCGAGTCATGCGGCGTCCTAAAATCAATATGCATAAATCACCATTACTGAATAACGTCCGCTTTTCAGCTGTCATCGTTCACTTTATGGACAACGTTCCATATTGAATAATGCAACGTGAACGTCCGCCGTTTATGCGCCCAAGTGGACGCGCATTATGGATTGCATCTATCGGAATATATCCTGTAACAATTTAGCATATTTGTGTGATTTATCTATCTTTTTTGAGTAAAGAAATAATTATTCAATTATTAATTATATGGGAACACATAGCTACGGAATAAATTTTGCGAATTTCGTGAATAAAAGCGATATAAATATTCGGGAGGAAGAAACGATTTGCGGCGACACACCTTAGTCTACTTTCACAAGCAAAAAGCGCGTCGTGCATCTATGGCCTTTGGTCGTTTTGGCTCATCACGAAGCCCGTGCTTCGAGGTACGTACGCTAATTGATGGGACCCGAGGTGCAGCTCCATTGCAATGTTCTTAGGGCCCCGTCTAGATTCGATAATGAAGACGCGCCAGCACGACCGTTCCTAGAAGCACAACGGTGCGCTTCTCTGCTTCCCTTCCTACGTTCATCTTCCGTTTTCTTTTCCCCTCTATACATCGCGGTCTGTTCAACTCGTATCTGCTTTATTAGAATGGACTACCATTCCAAGCTGCATCTCGATTCTATCCGCGGGTGTCTATAAATTTGGTTAATAGAGCGGCATCGTCTTCTCG